CTCTCTCTCTCTCTCTCTCTCTCTCTCTCTCTCTCTCTCTCTCTCTCTCTTTCTTTCTTCAAAAATCTAATTTGTCTGTCTCTCTATCTGTATTTCAGTTTAACTTTAAAGCCATCCATCTGCCTCACTGTGCAAGGTCAGGAAGTAGCATAAAGCATTGTGGCATTTTGTACATTGGGCATAATTGTTCCTTCCTAAGCAGGATGGCTCAGCAGTTGACAGCCGTCAAACTGACAGCTCGAATTTGAGACCCACGCCATGTAGACAGGGTGAGCTCCCATTCTTGCCCCAGCTCCTGCCTAGCTAGCTGTTTGAAAGCATTCAAATGCGAGTAGATAAACAGGTACCACTTCGGTACCACAGCGTTTCCGTGTTCCCCGGCATATTCCACACGACCATGGAAGTTTTGTTGGACAACGCTGGCTCCCTTGGCTAGGAAATGGAGACATGCACCAGCCCATAGAGTTGGGCGCAACTGGACACTTGAAACCTTTACTTTATCTTCAAGCAGGATGTGGAGAAAGAGGGAAGTCAACTTGTCTGTTTGCTCATTGTATTACTCAGCTGGGCTGGGTAATACAAGGCAAGGGTAAAAATAAGCTGCAAATCTTCATGCGTGAGAAGTTCCTGGGATTATCGGATGGCTAGCAGAAAAGTTCGCTTATTTTCTCTTTCTGAAGGATTGGTGAAGGAGAATTCCTGTGGCCAAGTGAGCTGTAATGTACAAGTCAGGAGATCTTAATTCTGCTCTTATTGGATCAGTCTGTGATGTGTTGCCAGGGTTTAAAATTTCTTCTTGGCTCCTTCCGCCTGAAAGAGGAGAGAAAAAATCCAGCCATTAAAACCTTGTTCTAACAATTTCCCTAAATGCTAGAGCCGTGATGGTGAACCTATGGCCCATATGCTAGAAATGGGTTCCGGGTACTGGTGCGCCAGCCAACTGGTCTTCACATGTGTGGGAGCACTAGAAAAATGGAAGAGCAGCCACCCAGCGCGCATGCAGGTGCCAGGAAGATGGTCTTCCGATTTTGGGCATGTGCATGTACACCACCCAGCTGGTCTTTGTGAGCATATGTGCACCATAAACTGGAAGCCCAGGTGGCCAGTTCGTGTGCCCATGCCAGAAACCAGAAGAGCATGCACATGCATGCACACTAGTTGGCTGCTCTTCTGGTTTCTGGTGCACATGTGCGCACACGCTCCCATTTTGGCACTCATTGCCAAAAAGGTTCCCGAACACTTTGCTAGAATAATTAATATATATTCTTGGTTGGAGATTTGTCTCTATTTTGACCTTTGCTCTAAGATCTTAATTGGGCTTTCAATGCACTGTGTACACCTGTACACTGTGTAGTCCTAGAAACCATAAGTCACAAGTCCATGTTTTTAATTTTTACACGAAATGTCCATAAGAGACTTCCAATCACTAATGAATGTAGATCTTGTCTTTTCTCTAACAAAGAAGTCAACTTATCAATTTCAGCAAAATATGTCAATTTCAACAACCATTCATCCAGAGTGGTACCGTTGAGTCTTTCCATCTCCGTGCATATAATAATCCCCCTACAGTAATCATATATTGAAATAAAATTTAATGAAAGTTAACTGATTGTTCACTTATTTCAGGATTATTATTATTTTTTTGCCATGTAGGGTTCATTTATGGGGGAGCATTTCTGGGGTGCATTAAGGGCTTTAGAGGTGGGTCAATCAAAACACATTCATCATCCCCAGCTAATATGGCTATTAATTGGAAAAAAAAATACACGTCAGTTTTGGTAAAATATCTACTTCCAGTTGTAGACAGTCTGACGTACATTCATTCCATTTATTTGATTTACAGTATATAGCTTCCGATTAAGCAATTGTCTGAGCAGCAAACACAAAATTAAACATGAATAAATGAGAGTAACTAACAATAAAACAACTGTCACACAGTAATACCCAATCTTAAACCATATAATTCCCGTCATGTCAGAAACACGCCTTTAAAGCTAAGAGCATTTTGGCCTTTCAAAAGAAATTAAGCAACAGCAGGGGGGAAGGCAAGTGTGAATTCTAACTAATAAACATTGTTCAAACACAAGTGGTGTAAATTTTCAGAAATCCTGGACTTCTTCTTCATCACTCAATCTAAGAGTTGATTTAGGGTTAGGATTAACAGGTGGCAGGTAAAGATAAACATTGCGTTTACAAGTGAAATTTCTGTCTTCTGACCAGTCATATTTATTCAAAGGGTGTTCCATAATTGCAGCTAGAAAGAAACACATTGTGGTAGGACAGAGGAGGTGGTTTAAAAAAAGAAAACTACAATTGGTATGTATTGGGCAATTCCAGCTGAACAATATCTTCGTGGAAACATATTGGATAGGCAAAGAAAAGAGGACAAATACTTGAATGCTCTGGCACTTAAAACATTCTTAAAAATACAGTTAAAATGTGTTAACGGTATTTGCTTGCTCTCTCCAAGGTCGTATGTACCTTTTGAGCGGGGTCCGTCATACCTTTGAACAGTTACTAAACAACTGGTCATTAAGCAAGGACTATCTCTATCAGAGGTGGGTTCCTAGCAGTTCGCACCAGTTCGGTAGAACCGGTTCGTCAAATCTACCGAACCGGTTAGAAGAGGTTCCACCAGTGGACCCGGAAAGCAGGCCACACCTACAGAAGAGGTTCCAAAATTTTTTGAAACCCACCCCTGATCTGTATGTTGCAATGACCAGTTGCTTAGCAACTGTTCAAAGTTATGACGGACCCCATTCAAAAGGTACATACGACCTGGTTCTGGAATTCCAACAGTGACACAATTGATAAATATATGTTCGTTCGTTCATTCATTCATTCATTCATTCATTCATTCATTCATTCATTCATTCATTCAGTTACTGTATTCTCCAGTTCTACTGAATCACATTTAAGCGTTTTGTGGTCCCCCACATCCCCGATATAATAACCATTGTGTTTTTCATTACTTTTTAAAGGAATTTACCTGAAAAAGTAAAGGATGATGCCCAAGTCAAGAATATGAGTGGGCAGTGGTTTTATGAAGCCAAGGCAAAGAGGCACCGAGAGAAAATACATGGAGCCGATATTATCCGGGCATCGATAAGAAGGAAGCCCTTGACAATAGGTATGTGTTCATTTGGAGGGGGGGAAAAGAGAAGCATGGTTTTTTGAAGAAGGAGAAATGTTTATTTTGGTAGATCTTCAATCAAGAACACACCCTTATGGTTAAAACGAGGAAGGGCTTTTCATGGTCTTGATTCAAGTCAGTTTTCCTCCAGCTTACTGCCCTCTAAATGTTTTGGACCTCAGCTCCCATGTCCAAATCCAATTCCAAGCCAGCATGATCAGTGGATCTTTCTAAGTGGACAATCTACCTACCAACTTTCCCGCCTAGCTATCTGCCTTGCCTGCTTATTTACATAACTACCTGCCCATCTACCTACCTGCCTATCTACCTATCTACCCACCCATCTATCTAACCACCTAGCTGACTGTCTACTTGCCTGCCTGTCTTTCTCTCTGTTTGCCTATATACCTGCTTATTTACTTGCCTGCCTGCCTGCCTGCCTGCCTGCCTGCCTGCCTGCCTGCCTGCCTGCCTACCTACCTACCTACCTACCTACCCACCCACCCATATATCTACCCACCTACCTGCCTGCCTACCTGCCTGCCTGCCTATCCGTCTGTCTGTCTGTCTGCGTGCCTGCCTACCTGCCTATAGACCTATCTATTTATCTGCCTGCCTATCTACTTATCTGTCTACCTATCTGGCCGCTTACTCTCCAAGCAAATCAGAATCAATGGAAGTCAATATATTGAATGAAGACACTCTATCACAGTGAAAATGCTTAGATGATTTATCCATACTCCCATCTTGTTCAAGAGCCATTGGGATAACTGGGTGTCTACAGAAAAACCAGTTTCTCCTGTACAGGCAGTCCTCTAATTATGACTAATACTGGGATCAGAAAATTTGCTGTTAAGTAGGATGGTCATTAAGTGAGGCATCACACGATGTGTCTGATTTTATAACTTTTTTGCTGTGGTTGTTGCGTGAGCCAGCAAATGAGTTGTGATTTGCAACCTCCTGCTGTCTTCCCGATTGACTTTCCTCCTCTGAAGCCAGCTAGGAAGGTTGCAAATGGCGATCACGTGACCCCGGGATGCTGCAACCATCTTGAATATTTGCACCTGGATTTTGGTTACATGACTGTAAAGATGCCACGATGGTGATCAGTGCGAGGACAGGTGGTGTCACATTTTTCCAGTGCTGTTCTAACTACAAACAGTCACTAAACAAATGGTCGTAAGTCGAGGACTACCTGTATAACAAACTTTTACAGGAAATTTAGTCATAACTAGCCAATAACCTGGTGTTGCCTGGGTATTTATTTATAGGGGGGAAATATCCAGACCAAACGAAATTTTTAATGTTGGATTCTCCCTCTTACCAGAGGGAGCCCCCTTGTGGAGTACTGTGAAGCCGTTACCATGGCAACTCCACTGCAACTGTACAGTAGAAGCCATTTTATGGCAGTACAGTAGAAGTCATTTTAAGGCACAACAGGCTGTATCTTAACAGAACACATACACCGAGGGGTTTTAGGGGTGTCTTACCCCCACAGTATTTTTTTCCAGAGAGTAAGAATACCAAGTTGAAATTGCTCGCGGCGTGCCAGAGTGATTCTGGAACACACACACACACACACACACACACACACACACACACACAC